AAACTTCGCAGCTATCAGGCGTTTGACTGCTGCGATTCACGTGATCAGAACATACTAAGCGTGGATTGAACTTTTGGCCATCACGCAAACACTGCGTGATTTGCGCCCCATCCTCCTGCGTACCCGGTCAAGGACGAAGGGAACCCACGTGACTGTCTTTGGGGACAGCAAAAATCTAAAGAAGGATTTTCAGTTTTTTCCCCTCTGACCAGCGGCAGTTGAACGTCGCTGGGCAACTTGTCCATATTCCAAAATAGTCTGCCCACTGAGATGAAGAAGACAGCAGTCTGCCGACTAGGTATTAAAGGACTGCTATGAAACTGAATCAACCCAACCAAACGCCTGTACGAGATGCTGTGGACCATTGAACTCTTATGAAAGAAAAGGAATCCAGGAAAATTGCCGGCCGGCCAAAATATTGTTTTAGCATCAGAACTCTCGCTTCAGCGAATCAGAACTTTGTGTGAAAATATCAACTCGACTGAAAGATAAGTTGATTCTCTCTGTTTTTATATATGCATGTATTCGCTCGCGCCTTCTGTTCTTTAATGATCCCCTTCCCCTTTGTTAAATGAATGTTCCTTTTTTTCTTTATCTCTTTATATATCTATAAATAAATGTTTTATTTTGAAATCCATCGTCTTGTGTCTGTTCTTCGTTGATTCCCTTGTGTCGCTTCCGTTTCTGAGTGAAGCCCGAGAAAAGATCCCACGTTTTCCTTTTTTTTTTAAACCTGTGGTTCTTCTATATGCTACAAGTTCGTAACAATAGATATTGTAATACTAAATTTATTCAGACTTCACGAGAATATAAGTTTCCTTTGAACTCTACAATCACAGATGCTTAAAATGGTGGCCTTTAGCTTCCAGACATTTATCAGCACGGCAAACTACTGCTTCGATAACGTTGGTCAAAGTGTCCAGTGGGATTGATGCACATGCATTTTCAATCTCTTGTCTAAGTGGTCGCCAATGTATTTGGTTTTCTGCAATACACAACATCGGTTAGGACTTGTCGATGCTACAGCCATGAGGGTAATTCCATCTGTTGAGAAAATACCGCATTAAACAGTGTTTGATAAAAATAAGAAAGACATTTTTTTTTTACCTGAAGTGTGTATACATAATTTTTGCACACACACACACACACACACACACACACACACACACACACACACACACACACACATATATATATATATAAATATAAATTATTTGAAGTATTCTCTACACCGGATAGAGGTCAAGACTCATTATAATGACAGTAAAACGATTCTCTTGTACCGATAATAAGTCGGTTAGCTTAATGAAACAAAGTATAATTAAATTCCATGCATATAACTTACGGCAAGGTAAAAAATTAAATGTATAGTTGTGTTACATACTTCGTTTACAATCTTAGTTTCCAACGAAGAATTTTTATTACCATTCTTCATATACCCTCAGTTTCATTGACCCCCCCCCCCGGTCATGAGCAATTAGTAGCTAATAAGAAAATGAAACACATTCCATCTGTTTCCGATAAGATTCCAATAATAAAATACTACGTAAAAACAGTGAGAATCGGGACAGAATTGTTCTGTGATATTGCTTTGTCAAAGAATACAAATGTTTTTCTTGCCGAAACATTACTAATAAAAGAGAAACTATAATCTTACACTGAACGGTTACAAACAGTAATTGTTACTTTCAAAGCTAAATCCATATAACAGAAAAGAGGTAAGCAGTTGGGCACTACTTAAATTGACTGATGCGTTCGTAAAAAAATTGAGAAAGATTTTGTGGGATATAATTTTGGTATAGTGTATATTTCATTAGACTTTTTTGAAGCCACGTCAGAATTGCAAAATATTGATTTTTATCATTTTAAAAGGGGGTCTTGTTCATGAGAGTTGTAGCATATCTATGGACAATAATTGGTATTCCCCATTCACATAAATACAGTAGTAAATACTGTATGTTGGTCTGCAGTTGGAGATTCGTTGCCAGCTGTGTTGGTCAAACTCTCTGCTTCCGGACAGAGTGAATCTTCAAACGAGGCTATGTCGAAGTGCAAAGTCTCGTCTCGGGAAACAGCTACCCGACCCGGTTTTATGCGGGGTCTACAGGGAATTTTTGGCCGAGCCTATGGGCTCGGATACCCCACATTAAATTCGGCCTTGTGCCACATCTGACCGCATGGGGCGGTTGGAGATTCATTGTGGAATTCACTTGACTCCCTTCTAGCAGTCGACTTCTACGCGCCGCTGGCGAATCTTATATGTGTTGTTCTTGTCCTAAGTATTATCATTCATTAACAAGCTTCGTGTGATTATTCTATTCAGTAACCTTCCTTAGGTTACAACAATGATGTAAATACTGTGCCAAATCGATTCCTGTTTTTTTTTTTTTTTTTTTTTAATATTTAATGAAGCAAAAGGGAATTTCCATGGGTATTTTATAGTCGTGTAACTCGCAAAGGGTCTGTTAACTTAAGAATTATGAATTATTTCAAATAAGAAAAACGGTAAATCTTCGGGCGTATTGCTCATAGCTTTTTAGTAGTAAAAAACAATGTTTAGCAGTACAGCCTCTAATGAAAGTGAATCATACGTGCGTTAGTATTACTCACAATACTAATGTACACAAAAACAAAACATTAGCAAAGATGGCGTCGAGCAAACGGAGAACGAGAAAAGATAAATACAAATGACCAGATTTGTAAAGTTCTTGTAGCTTAATCGGCAGAACAGCTGTTACCTTTATCTAGACTTTCTGAGGCAAGAAGATGTGGGTTTGAGTTTAATCAAGAGCTTATTCATTATTTTCAATCCCGTCACTGTTTACTGAGGTGGAGTGGAATGATTTTCCGTCGTCTTTTCCTACAGTTTCCTTCTCTTAGACTGTTTACAACCCAAGGCAATGGGATCCAGTCTACTCTGCTATTTAACCCATAGCCGGGGAAAGAAGAGTTGGATTCATGCCTTTCCCAAGGGCATTTGTAGAAAAGTGAGCACAACAGACAAAAAGTGAATTTGAACTCGTCTCGCCGATTTTAAAGTCACTGCCGACAGCCGCTGCACAACCTGAGTAGTTGCAATGGCAAGCAATTTATATTAATTAAAAAAAATCCAATAAATATCAGTCAAAAATTAATAGCAGCTTCTTCATTGCAGAAAAAGACGTTAATCACTTCTGTAAAATTAATATTTAACAAAAGGAGTGTGTGTATGTCTTTGATATATATATATATATATATATATATATATATATATATATATATATATATATATATATATATATATAAGGGAGAGAGAGACGGAGGAGACAGATGTTATGCGTCAGTCAGAGGTGACGGCAATCGTGTCGAGATAGGAGGAGATGGGTCTTCGTCAATGAACGGGAAATGTGATATTTGTATTTGGTGCCTCGGGATATCTCGTTAGGAACAAGTTACAACCGGTGCTCGGGTGAGTGAACGAAGAGGGGTGCGAAGTATTATTAAAATTTAACGCCATTCTCATCCGTCGTCAAGAAATCTGGCCTCACCTTTTCTTTGTTTCTTTAAAACCTTCAGCCTTTCCATATCACTTTTTCGTCTTTGTTCATTAATTTTTCTTTCTTTCTTTCTTTCTTTCTTTCTTTTCGATGTCTCTGTAGATTACAGACACATAAATGTATACCTGCATTTACATGTGTACATAATATATACACGAGCATACATCATTATGTGATACAACACACATTTGTGTGCAAGTACATATTTGTTTGCGGATATATTGGTCTACACACACACACACACACACACACACACACATATATATGTGTGTATGTATGTCTTTGTGCTCATGTATTTATTTATGCATGTTTCATTTTATGAGATGCGCTAACCAAAAGTTATTGGAATTCGGTTTTGAAATTGATTATGTTCAAATTTACAGAACTTTTGGGTTGAAACATGTATAGATTTTTCTCCCCCCCACCTGTCCCTATATATATATATATATATATATATATATATATATATATATATTATGAAATGGACAAAGTCCGACAATTATTTTAAGACATATAAAAGAACGTATGAACATAAAAAATGTCTTTTATATATATATATATATATATATACATACACACACACACACACACACACACATATATATATATATATATATATATATATATATATATATATATATATATATATATATATATATATATATATATATATATATATATATATATATATATATATATGTCAATATGTTCATTATCATTATCTATCTATCTATCTATCTATCTATCTATCTATCGAAGTGGGTAACGATGAGTTGGAGAGAGAAAGAGCATTATTCAATTGAATGTGAAGGTCTCTGATGAACAAAAAAAATTAACAAAAACAAAATATTAGTGAAAATGTATTATGCTGAGAGAAAGAAAAAATGATTGAAAAATAAAAAAAATAAAAAAACGCGATGAAGCCTACTTTGATCAAATATAGAATTATTTGGGCGAATTCTGGACTGAGAGACGTGTAGCTGCTGATGGAAGGACAATATTGCCTACAGTTTTTTTTACGTCTTCTTCCTCTTTTTTGATAACAAATCGTCATGAGAATACACACACTTTTCTTCAGACGAAATTACACTTACATCCTCACTCAACAAAGACAGAAATAACAGAGCCGCCAGGATACACGTAGCACAAAGAAACGGTAACCCCATTCACCCCAACAGAGTTATTACAGACGCAGTTGTATGTACATACATAATTACACGTTCCTACATATCACATGCACTTCTCGATCACACACACGCGTACATGAACACACATACAAAGTTATGATCAGGCCCACCAACTGTCATAAGTGTCGGGAAGTTCTATTTTGACCCGCTTGAATTGTCCAGAGAAATGTCTCGTATTAAAACGAATCTTCATTTTGTCAACGGAGACTGAAATTAGGGTTCCCAAACTCGTCAGGAAGGCAAATTAAAAAAAAAGAAGGTATTCTCGGATTCCAAAATGGCTGAATATGAAGCCGCCATTTTACCTAACGAATATCATCCTTCTGTTTCAACAATCTGGGGAGAATACGGCCCTCCGCCGCCTAAACCAGCGCATGGCAGGATCCGAACCGATTACAGTAAATTCATGATGGAATATGCAACTTACGATAGACAGAATCATCCTCTTCCTTCACATCAAACGGACAGATTTCCTTTTGGTTGCGGTCACCATATTGTCTGTGCGGACGAACAAGAAGTAAATACATTTTTACATCCCCAATTTCAAGATGGCTGCCAAAACGAGACGAGCATTATTCGAAGAAGAGGAAGCTCTAACCGAAAAAAGAACGTCCATTTTCGGCAATCACGTGACGTTACTTATTACCCGGAATTGTATCAAGCAGAAAAAGTTCACTCGGAGAGCCAAACACCGTCTTTACTTCCTCAAGTCATTTGCCATGCACAAACGGATTCGCTTTCACCGGAAACAGATCCCTTTAGAGGAAAGAGTGAGAATGTTCATCAATCCAACAATATGATAGTCGCATCATATGACGACGGACTGTTGGACGATTCTGGCCAGGTAGGAAGTGACCACTGGCGTTATCAGCAAAGTCAGATTAATAAAGCAGCCGGCGCTGATCGTGAAAGACATAATCAACAATTCTCTTCTCCCTTTGAAGAGGAACATTTTAAACGAAATTTAGAATTTAATATGCAGTCTAGCGAAAAGGTGGACACAATGAAAGGCGAATGGACAGTTTACCAAAGATACGGAGAAATAGAGCAAGAACCATCGAAGTGTATTGACCGTCAGTCATCTGTCAAGTTTTCGGAATCTAAAGTGGTGGTGTCTAGCAACGAACTAAAAGTATCTGCCATTGGTCCCGTCTATTTGATTAACCGGAACAGCGCAAAACGGTCTTCCGGAACTTTCATATCGCTCATTGGACGCTTACCCGTGGACCATTCTAAGCGAAAAGATTCTAAAATTGTCCACTGCACCTTTGCTAAAGAGGCTGCGACACGTCAGTTAATATCGAACCAGCAGTACAAAGATATGAGTTTTACGACACAGCAAAGTAATCAGGAAATTAAGGCAGATATCGGATATATTGTACAGGAAGAGAAAGAGATTGAAATGAAAGGTAAGTCGAACTGCCTACACTTTTTAAAAAGACATTTCTTTCATTCTCTTATGCAGGGGTCGGCACACGTGGCACGCCAAACAATTTCCAATGGCACGCAGCCGCAAATGACATCACGAAGTCCGAACCAATAGCTACTACAACAATATTTAGATATTTAGCTGTTTCAAAACTGTTCACTCGTTGGACTCCCATTAATAATAAAAACTTATAAAAACAGTTTATTTCTATTAATGTGGTTTACATATTATTGTATATATTACTATATAAAATATATTATATATTGTAGAACATGTATATTGACCTTGGCTTGTATAAAAATACGTATGCTGTTGGCACAATGAATGATTTTAAAATGATATGTCAGCACATAGTTAGCAAAAGGTTGCTGACCCCTGATCTAATGGCTTCTAATTCTTAGCTGACATTCTCTTTAAAATGTAGGACGAGCATGCCTTTTCTTTTCTTTTAAATGCCTTTGGGAAAGGTATGAACCCATCTTTTTTCCTGTTTAACTAGTAAGACCTTATTACCATTATTATCCCAAAAAATTCATATATATCAAATACAAAAATACATTTCCGCTTTAAATAAACTTAAAAAGATTAATAAACAGTAAAAAAAAGAAATCAATCAATAATTAATTAAACCAGATAATAAATATTATCTTTTGCCTGTGTTATCATTAGAATGTACGTTACGCTTTGCCAATACCTCATAGATAATGGACTATTTCGTTTTGATCGCGAGGAAAGTCATATGACACCGTTTGATTTCAGTGAGAAAAAAAGAAAGGATGAAATGGGAAAATTGTCAATTTTAAATCCTTTCATTTGTAAAAAAACTTCATTTGTAAAAAAACTGTAGGCAATATTGTCCTTCCATCAGCAGCTACACGTCTCTCAGTCCAGAATTCGTCCAAATAATTCTATATTTGATCAAAGTAGGCTTCATCGCGTTTTTTATTTTTCAATCATTTTTTTTTCTCAGCATAAAACATTTTCACTAATATTTTGTTTTTGTTTTTGTTAAATTTCTTTGTTCGTCCGAGACCTTCACATTCAATTGAATAATGCTCTTTCTCTCTCCAACTCATCGTTACCCACTTCGATAGCTAGCTAGCTAGATAGATTATGAACAGACTGAAATAGATAGATAGATAGATAGATATACCCTCTAACTTCTTTAAGTAATGACTTGCGTTCATATTTATGATTATTATTGTGATATCTGTTTAAAGTTGTTAAGCGTAAATAGTTAAAGAGGCAATAATGGAATTTCCATCGGACTTTTATGGAACACGAAAGTAGATATTATGATACACCAGAAAATTAAAATAGGAAAACCGTGAAATATTCATGGCTACACTTAGTTAATAATTAATAAATTAAATTAATTTTATCAAAGTTTCGTGAGATACATTACGGTGGAGTAATGGATAGCGGCTTGGATTGAGAGTTCGAATTCCAGTCGAATCCATTAGATTCACTTACCTTGGGAAAGGTATGAATCATCTTCTTCTCCCATTTATGGGTAAATAGCAGGACAGACCGGGTTCTACAGTCTTGGATGACAACTGGTCTACCACAGAAAGAAATGGCGGGAAAAAATCTGCCTCGTCAGTCATGTATCACGCATGGCTCATAACTGACTGAATATTATTTCAAAACTGGCCGCCGAATCAGCGAAAAGCCAGATCCCTGTAATCTATCGACTGCTTTCCAGTTTTCAATTGAAACTATCATACCTTCGTTAAAACAGGGTACTGATTTGCATTTATTGGGCTACTGTGTGATGGTGAGGGTACGTCATTTTTATTTATTTATTTATTCATTTATTTATTTATTATTATTATTACGTTATTTGGCAGTTTTGACATTTTTCTCCTCAAATATTTTTGTTGCGATATGTAGCCATTACATGCGGGGGGGGGGGAGCGACTCGAGTTCAAGTTCCGAATAAATCTCTTGCGTTCACTTTCGCACGAACGCCCCCGATAAAATCAAGCATCTATCTCATCATCTGTTATTAAATAATATGGTAGACTAGACTCTATAGCCTTGGGTGGCAGCAGGTCCAGGAGGAGAGCAACATTGAATTCAAAACCACCGAAAAGGTAACGAGGAACCATTCAATTATCTTTCCCGAGAAGGCATGACAATTCAAAAGTAATAAAATGAAGGAATCTGTGGAGAAGACAACAGGAAACCACTCTAATATATTTCCCAAGTACACATGGCTATTCACAGGTAGTAAAGAAAAGGAATCTGTAGAGAAGGCAAAGGGAAACCACTCCACTATTATTCACTATCTTTCGCAAGAAGACATGGCTATTCAGAGATAAAAATGAAAAAGTATCTCTGGAGATGGCAACGAGAAACCACTCCATTGTCTTTCCCGAGAAGGCATGCGTATTCACAGGTAATAAATAAAAGGTATCTGTCGAGAAAGCAAACGGAAATCACCCCATTTTCTTTCCCGAGAAAACATGGCAATTCACGCATAATAAAAAAACAGAATCTTTGGAGAAGGCAAATGGAACCACTATCTATCCCGAGAAGACATGGTTATTCATAGAAATAATGAAAAATTATCTTTGGAGATGGCAACGGGAAACCACTCCATTATCTTTTTCGAGAAAATATGGCTATACATAGGTAATAAAGAAATGGGATTTGTGGAGGAGGCAACGGTAAACCAGTCTATTAAATATCCCGAGAAGACATGCCTATACTCAGGTAATGGATCTGTGCAGAATGAAACGGGAAACCATTTCATTATATTTCCTGAGAAGACATAGCAATTCAAACGTAGTAAAGAAAAGAGATATGTGTAGAAGGTAATAGGAAACCTCTCAACTATTTTCTCGAGAAGACGTGGCTATTCACAGGTAATAATAAAAAAAGAAATCTTTGGAGAAGGTAAAGGGAAACCACCCCACTATCATTCTCGAGAAGATATGGCTATTCCCAGGCAATAAAGAAAAGAAATCTCTGAAGAGGACAACGAGAAAACACCCCTCTAAATTTCCCGAGAAGATATGGCAATTACCAGGTAATAAAGAAACGGAATCGATGAAGATGGCAACAAGAAAGCACTCCAATAAGTTTTCCGAGAAGACATGACTATTTACAGGTAATAAAAACCGAATATGTGGAGAAGGCAACGGGAAAAAAACTGAACTATCTTTCCAGAGAGGACATGACTATTCACATGTAATAAAGAAAATGTATCTGTGAAGATGGCAATGTGAAAACACACCAGTAACTTTTCCGACAAGACATGGCAATTCAAAGATAATAAAGAAAAGAGATCTGTGGAGTTGGCAAAGGGAAACCGCTCCAATTTCTTTCCCAAGAAGGACATGGCAAATCAGAGATAATAAACAAAGGGGATCTTTGGAGAAGTCATTCGGAAACTCTCCACTATCTTTCCCAAGAAGATATGACTCTTCATAGATAATAATGAAAAAGGATCTGCGTGTATCGCAACGGGAAACCACTCCATTATATTTTCCGTGAAAACATGGCTATTCGCAGGTTATAAAGAAAAGGGATTTGTAGATAAGGCAATGGTAAACAACTCCACTAAATTTCCCGAGACGACATGGCCATCAACAAGTAATAAATAAAAGAGATTTGTGGAGAAGACAAAGGGAAACCAATCGATTAAATATCCCGAGAAGACATGTTTATACTCAGGTAATAGAAGACAGGGATATGTGGAGATGACAACGGTAAACCATTTCACAATCTTTCCCGAGAAGTCGTGGCCATTCATAGATAATAAAGAAAAGGGATTTGTAGAGAAGGCAACGGTAAAAAACTCCACTATATTCCCCGAGAAGACATGGCTATTCACAGGTAATAAAGAGGAAGGATCTGTGCAGAAGGCAACGATAAACCACTCAACTAAGTTTCTCGAGAAGTCATAGCTATTCACAGGTAATAAAGACAAAAATCTCTGAAAAGAGCAACGAGAAATCACCCCATTAAATGTCTTTAGAAGATATGACAATTCCCAGGCAATAAAGAAATGGAATCTATGGAGAAGGCAACGAGAAACCACTTCACTATCTTTCCAGAGATGGAATGGCAATTTACAGAGAATAAAGAAAAGAAATCTGTGGAGAAAACACCAGGAAAACATTCCAATAAATTTTCACGAAAAGACATGATTATTCACAGGTAATGAAGAAAAGACTACCTGGAGGAAACAACGAGAAACAACTCCATTATCTTTCCAGAGATGACATGACTCAAGGATAATAAAGAAAAGGGATCAGTGGAGTTGACAAAGAGTAACCAATCCACTATCTTTCCCGAGGACGTTGCTATTCACAGGTAATAAAGAAAAGGAAACTTTCGAGAAGGCAATTGGAACCACTTCACTATCTTTCCCAAGAAGACATGGCTATTCAGAGATAATAATAAAAAAAAGTATCTCGAGATTGCAACGGGAAACCACTTCATTGACATTCCCGAGAAGATATAGCTATCCACAGTTAATAAATAAAAGAGATCTCTGGAGAAGTCAGCGGGAAACCACACAAGTCAATTTCACGAGAAGACACGGCAATTCACAGATAAAAAAGAAAAGTGATCAGTTGAGCAGGCAATGGGAAATCACCCCATTTTCTTTCCCGAGGAAACAGCAATTCACACATAATAAAAAAAACAGAATCTTTGGAGAAGGCAATTGGAACCACTATCTATCCCGAGAAGACATGGTTAGTCATAGAGATGGCAACAGGAAACCACTCCATTATCTTTTTCGAGAAAATATGGCTATACATAAGTAATAAAGAAATGGGATTTGTGGAGGAGGCAACGGTAAACCAGCCCATTAAATATCCCGAGAAGACATGCCTATACTCAGGT